TTCAGTACTTGCTGGTAAGGGTACACCATCTAGTCCTCGCTGTCAGTAGGGGTATTGTCCGATGCTAGGATGGTGGCACTTCCTTTTTCCTCTCGGTCCATTGAATTTGACTTAAGAAAATTTTTGCTTAAATTTCTTTAAGCCCTGAGTGACTCTGTTTAATTTATTAAAAGAGAAATTATGATTTATAATTTTAAAGGAAAAAGAAATCAAAAAAATTGAGAGTATTTTAGCTGGCCGTTTCAACGCAAGAAATTAGAGTCACTGAAAAATGCAGACAGGCTCATTCGAAAAGTTTTTAGTTTGGTTTTCCCCGAACCTGCTATCAGACTTCAGTCCTTTCCTTATCTCTTATCCTCCCGTTGACCAGGAGACTGACATTTGCATTTTATTGATTTTTTATATTAAAAAATCAATATTTAGTTTAACTGGGGGAACTCACAATATTCCCACCTGCTTTTGTTAATTTAAATTTCAGAGCAGCGCGGGATTTATCTATTTTCAAAGTCAAAACAATAGAGACACTCCGCTTGACTGGCGTCGTGGATAAATACTCAGTTACCTCAATCATCTGTTAAACTTTTTTTAAAAATTGTTGCCATTTTCAAGGTTAAAAAAACTGAAAGAATAAAAAAAAATCCGTTCAGAATCCGAAAAGTTAGATATTTGGATTTGACTTTAAAACTCTTAAGTTAAGTTGTTCAGTTGAAATCTGAATCAAATGTTAAGTTAAAAAGGCATTCTTTTCTTGAGGTGTGAACAAATTGAGAATAAAAAAGAGTCCGCTCGGATCTTATGTAAACAATTAAAACAATAGCCTGTTGTATTTGTGTAGCTTCCTACACTTCCTACACAAACGTTATAGGATGTTTTCTAGTGTAAACTTGTTTTTTTCACAAAATAAATCTTATTTTTAAAGATCTCGATTTATAATGTTATCTTTAAAGCAGGTTATCTTGCAAGATTTTGCCAGAATCTTACAAGATCTTTTGAAAAGATGTATCCTCTTTGAAAGAATCTGAATGTTGCAAGATTCTTACAAGAACTTGTAAGATAATTTCACTTGGTCAACTAGGGTGTAGCTGCAGCTTCAACAATAAACATGTAATTAACTCTGCTAAGAAAAATGGTTTTTAACCGAACTGAAACGACTCATCATCACGTTAAAAATGTGACAGTTAAATCTTGACATCAATTTCATGATGACTGACTTTCAAATATCCTTCAGTGTCAATTGGTGATTGTCCAAGATCGGGTTTCTCAGATAAATTATTTTGTTGATAAAAAACTATTTTTTTTTCATCTTTAAATCAAATTTAATATTTTTATTAGTTCATGGTAATCATTGTTAGTATATATATATTGAAATTCGTCAGTATTTTAATGCGAAAATTGATGAGGGTGAAGTTTTTTCTTTTTCTGTTCAAGTAGTTTGCGCTGTTCGTCAAAATGTTTCGTACACTCCTCGAAGAACTCCAGTTGCAGTCTGCAGGCCGTTTCGAATTCTGACATCTTCGGGACTTCCTAAATCATTACCTTCAAAATATACTAGCGGATCTTTTGCAATCTTCCTCTTTGCAAAAGGGGAAGAAGCGTTACTAGGTACAAGGCAATGTAGGGGGTGGGGGTATGGGGTAGTTGAGGATATCTGTTTAATGGAAAGGTACCAAAACGATAGTAATTTTTAAGTTACATATGATTACAGGTAGCGCAGCGATAAAATTATGTGCTCAAACCATTCAATCCAAAGCTTCAATTCATTAAAACACTTGAAATGTTAAAAAAATTTAATTTTCGCTTTTGTCTTTATGAGAACTCGGCAAACTTCACGCTCTTCAATTTATATTTTCAAATGATAAAATCATGAAGCGTTCAAAAACTGCGGAAACCGGGAATTCAAAAATTTTTGTCAGTTTTAGTTACTTGATCAGGAATGGTTACTTCTTTCAAAAGCTGAGTTTGAAATATTAATTTCGGTTTCTGTATGAGGCAAAAATGCATGCTATGATAAAACGTAATCAATAAAATTTCAAAGTGATTTATCTTCCATTTTTCTATTTCGTACTATGAGTTATAGAAACCATTATCGAAGTTTTTCAGAAAAGAAGATGTTAAACTACGCTTTAAAATACTTAGCAATTTTTCTAAATTCAAGTGTCTGGAAGATTTTCAAGACTTCAGAAAAAAGTGATAAAAATTTTTTAATTCAACCGCGTATGTTGTATTAACTTGCTTAGTTTTTATTAGTACGGTTTGTCCACAAGAGAAGGACCAACATACGAGCTGTTGAGCTCTTCGCTGAGAATGTTGCCACACCCTCAAACAACGAGCACGGATCATAGTGGGTCTCGAACATCCGACCTGTCAACAGAGAGGCGGAAACGTAGCCACGACGTAGCCACTACACCACCATTCCGCTAGTCCTTAATTTATGACTTATTTAAAAACTTTCACTAACCTCAAGAAAAAAAGTACTTCCTTCCTTTATTTCCCCCAGGAACTCATTGATTATCTTCAGATTTCCATCTCTCGATTGGCTTTTGAACTTTTGACAGATGACATATGAGAAAATTGAGTGCCACAAATTTCCACACGTTTCCTCGTCTAGCTTCACAGGCTCAACTGACTCGAACATTCTAGACAGCAGAGTCAGCACAACAGCTCCGGAAGCATATTTCATTTTCGCTCGAATAATTGCAACACCATCTTCCGCGATATGATCCAGCATGACAATCAGTTGAGATAACAGCATTTCATAGTTTTGGAGAGCTGTTTCATTGGAGTGTCCTTCATAATCTTCATTTCCATGCCACGACCCATCCATAGTCACAAGCTGGTATTTATCATACCATTTGACATGATTATCTAACAAAAAGAATTCGAAAAAATCAATAAACAAACATCGTCTAAAAATGTGTTTAATACTACCAATGCGACCAATGCGACCCAAATCAGGTATATAGCAAACATTGTGACTCAAATTGAGCATGTTGCTATTATGCGCGACCGAAGAATTTTAATGCGACTCTGTGCGACCATTGTGACTCGAAATGGGTTGGTTGCATTTTTGCACAACCGAAGAATTGTTATGCGATTTTGCGCGGCCCAAAAAAATTTTGATCATTATTTTTCAAATATACTAAGCAAGGTTCAAACGTTTTTAAACCCCTCAAGATTTGAAATCTAATTGAGCGATTTTCTAAGAAAAACGCTCAAATCAAACCACTCATTTTGAAGAAAATTTCTGAGCACAATCGACTAAGAAGCCGCTCAAATCTTGCGTCAAATTAGGTGGAAATTCTCGACTCCGGACCCAAGTGGCGACTTTGCGCGACCCATGAGAGTATGCAATTTCGGTCACTGAAAATCCATTTCGGCAATCCAATTCCGTCGCAAAATGAGTCGCGGTCCTCGGCCTGGTATGTTTGCTTGCAATTTATAAAATATGCAGCTTTTTTTTTTCAAATGTTAAATAAACTTAGGGGTACAGGAACATAGAAACTTCAAGGATGGCGAGCATCAAACGTTTTCAACTCATGGAGTCCTTCATTAACCAACATCCTTACCAAGCAAATTTTTAGATGAATCATTAAGCATTTTGGGACCAAAAAGGTTACTTTACTTTTGTTGTGTGCTTTCGAGACAGATAACACAAAATTAATTTTATTCATGAATCAACTAAGATTTTTGTTTATAGTTTTTGAAAAGTTGCTGTCATTCAAATGTTAGTTTCAACTTGCTTCAGAAAAAAAGCATCAAAAAATAACTATCACAGCAACGTTTTTTTTGGAATGGGTGCATTGAGTAAGTTTGTTGAACTTGTAGTTCGTAATCCATATTTGATGTTATTTTGAGCATTCTTGACAATTTCAGAATTAATTTTCATTAGTTAGCAACAACCACCCAATTATATAGCCTTACTTTTACGCTTAAGAATGGCCAAGAAAAGCTGAACATGGTATGCTAACTTTAGATTGCTCATTTTTGTCGCTTGTGAACAATTGAAGTTGATTTAACACTCAAACTTTCATAATATACTCATTACTCGTATTTTTCTTCAGTAAATAGTATTTTTTGAAAGTTGAAAAAAAGAAGATTACAACCCATTAATACTTGACTGAAAACTCTTCTTTTCATAACAAATTCGAGTCAATTTTAGATCATTGTAATCGACCATACTGAATTAAAGCTTGTTTTCCCCCAATTTCTTCTTTAACCCTGTATTCAAGTCGACGTTGGCTTGTGGGAAAATTTGGAACAACTGTTTCAACAATCTATTTCAAGGTATAATATTTTTGTTCTCAAAATAATTGTGTTCAAGATGAACATTTTTTGATTTTCTTGAACATTTTTTGATTTTTGAAAAAAAAAAACAGTTTTTTTGCTTTAATGGTTATTTTGACTGGGTTTACCTTCAACCAGCGCGGGACTCTTCAAAAAAATATGAAGTGATCTCTATTAGTTTTTTGTTTTGTGGTAAAAACTAGTGCTCAGTTGAGTCATATGGTGACAAGACATCTCAACTTTAAAGGTTTTGTTATCTCCAGCAAAATTGTAGTCCATTATTTCATCAAAAGAGATATTTTTGGCTTGATGAAATTTTGGCAAATTATTAGACTAACTGATTGGATAATTGGTCATTTTCGGCCACTTGGGGTACTTTAGGGCAACTTTCAGCTAATTGCACAATTTCGGCCAATCGCGTCGTTTTTTTGGACAAATTTCGGCTAATTGCACAATTTCGGCCAATTGGGTCGTGTTTGGACAAATTCGGCTAATTGCACAATTTCGGCCAATTGGGTCGTGTTTGGACAAATTCGACTAATTGGACAATTTTTGCCAATTCGGATACTTCAGGGCAACTTTCGGCTAATTGCACAATTTCGGCCAATTGGGTCGTGTTTGGACAAATATCGGATAATTGGACATTTTCGGCCACTTGGGATACTTTAGGGCAACTTTCAGCTAATTGCACAATTTCGGCCAATCGCGTCGTTTTTTTGGACTAATTTCGGCTAATTGCACAATTTCGGCCAATTGGGTCGTGTTTGGACAAATTCGGCTAATTGCACAATTTCGGCCAATTGGGTCGTGTTTGGACAAATTTCGGCTAATTGCACAATTTCGGCCAATTGGGTCGTGTTTGAACAAATTTCGGCTAATTGCACAATTTCGGCCAATTGGGTCGTGTTTGAACAATTTTCGGCTAATTGCACAATTTGGGTCGTGTTTCGACAAATATCGGCTAATTTGACACTTTCGGCCAATTGGGTCGTCTCTGGAAAAATTTCGGCTAATTGGTCACTTTCGGCCAATTGGGTCGTCTCTGGAAAAATTTCGGCTAATTGGTCACTTTCGGCCAATTGGGTCGTACTGTCCAGAATATCGTCCTGAAAATCCTCTGGAATATCGTCCGGAATATCGGGTCCGGGTCGGCGGACCAAAATGTGCCGCACTCTCGTATCCTGTAAGATCTACAAAAACCTGCTTCAAAATCTGTAAATTATCGGCAACTTAACAGATAATATGAAGAGTAAGTAATATATGACAACAATCAGTTTAACATTTTCGGTTAGCATTTTAGCAATACGGTTTTCAACAATCTCAAAAATCTATAAACATTTTGATGGCAAACTGACCTTAATCGGACAAACCAGTAGTTTTTCAAGGCCTTTTGTCTAAGCAAATCTAATTTTAGCTTTTTCACTTTCGCGCTATAATGACGTCATTAATTTAAGCGCGAACATCTTCCGCGCCCAAAGGAGCAAAAACGGGTGCGAGTTTTACGGCCGGTCGAGTTAGCTCCCCGGAGCGGGTGGTAACTACGGCGGATCGGGCTATGTTGTCTTTTCCGTAATTAAGGGTTTTTATACGAGCCAGAGGGTAGTGTCCCCTTGGGCTGCGTTCGTCAACAATCCACACTAAATCCCCTGTTTTTAAAATAACGTCACTATCGGAGTGCCACTTACTGCGTTTATTTAGTGCTGGCACATAATCTCGCAGCCAACGACTCCAAATTGCGTTGGCGTAGCTTTGCGCTCGGATATATTGCTTTCGATGGTCGAAGTGCTCCTGGAAAGAGAGAGAAGGAAAGCTAGTACCATTTCGGCCTAACAAAAAATGATTAGGAGTTAACACCTCGAAACCATCCGGACTTGCACTTACTGATGTTATAGGTCGAGCGTTCAGTGATTGTTCTACAAGACAGAAAGTTGTTTCAAGGACTTCGGGAGTGAGCTTTCTACTTCCTATTATTGCGTAGAATACCCTTTTACAACACCGAACGAGGCGTTCCCAAGAACCACCGTGATGCGGGGCTGCCGGGGGGTTAAATTTCCACTTAATACCTTTTTTCGCCAGCTCTGGGGGTGCTTGATCGTTCCATGACTGAATACATTTTAAGAGTTCTTTCTCGGCTCCCACAAAATTGGTGCCGTTATCAGACCAAATGACTGATGGAGTGCCGCGACGGGCAATGAATCTTTCGATTCCCATTACACACGAACTCGTGTCCATGGATGAGACAATCTCAATATGTACAGCTCTGGTGGTCATACATGTAAAAAGGAAGCACCATCGTTTTTCAGAACTCCTCCTGATTGAGACGTAAAAGGGTCCAAAGTAATCAACACCACAGTTTGTGAAGGGAGGCTGGCGGTAACCAAGCCTTTCAACTGGAAGCTCTGCCATCATAGGTGTGACAGTTTTGGCTTTGCGCTTCCTACATATAAGGCAGTGGACTTCAATGGACTTCAATAAAGAGCGAAGGTTCAAGATTGCGAACTCTAAGTGAATTACAGCTCGCAGGTAGTCTAAGAACTGGTGCTGATAGCGATAATGAATATCACTTACGAACAATTTCACCAAAGAATGCCTTCCATCAAGGATTATAGGGTGTTTTGTGTCATATTCAGTTTCAACTAGGCGGCGAATTCGCCCAGTTGAACGAATGAGGCATGCAGGACCCATAAACGGTGCATACTGTGCAATACGACTAGACTTTTTGACGGTTTTGTTGCAGGACAGGAGTAAATATTCCGCTTCAAAAGATTCCTTTTGGGAAATCATCAAAAGTCGTTGTTTGGCGGTTTCTAATTCAACCGGATCGATTATTTCCTTGACTTTAGTGCGGTAGTGCCGGTGTTTCGGACTAAGTCTGAGCATGAAGGCAACCACTCGCTGGAGTTTACGAAACGAGCTGAACTTTTGCCAATCAAATAAAATGGGTTGTTTTTGATTTAGTGCAACGTTTGAAAAATTAGAGGCTTGCTGTAAGCCTTCATTGAGGTCACAAGCGGGACCAGCCAGGCGGATTTTCTTAAGTATTTCTATGCTCGGCTTGAAAGGCCACTCGCCACTTTGCAGCAGACTTGGCCCGTTCACCCAGCTGCTTGTTTTTAAGGACTCCGCTGAGATTCCTCTGGTTCCCGTATCAGCAGGGTTGTCTCCACTTAAGACATGAAACCACTGGTCTACGGTCGTACTTTCTAGAATCTCTCCAATCCGGTTTGCCACGAACGTGGGTTGCTTACTACCTGAGTTTAACCACTGGAGCACAGTGGTGCTGTCAGTCCACATGAACGTGTTTGACACAGGAATGGTTAGAGCTTTGAGGACATCTTCCTTCAAGCGGGTAGCGAGTAACGCGGCCTGCAGTTCAAGCTTCGGTATGGAAAGCGCTTTCATGGGCGCCACTCTTGCTTTTCCAAAGACGAAGGCAACTTGTGTTTCGAGTGAAGTTTTCACACGGGCGCGAAGAAAAGCTACAGCACAAAAAACTTCTTCTGAGCTGTCACCGAACATGTGTAACTCAACCCAATCGACTGGTCCGGAGAAGTAGCTGCGCTTTATACTCATTTTCCCTA